GACTACCTAAGACAAGTTTGTGAGGTCAGAGTTTGACAGTAGCGCCGATGGATGCCGGCCCAGTTGTCCAGATGTTAGGGGTTCTCGCAGAAGATCTAAGGCCCGGGTTCGAATGCCAAGGGGTGCAGGATTCGTGGATGCTCACTGCTGGTGAGTCCCATACCAGTACGAAATGGCCACTCAGTGCTTCCAGGTTTCTAATGGTGGTCTAACAATGTAAGTTTTTAAGTAAAAAACCGAGAATTTTTTCAATCCTTTGTCAGTGTTTTCTTGATATCGTTTATATTAGTTTTTTTTTTAGCTGAAACTTCTTATTATTTCGTGTTTAATGAATTTCAAAATCAATCGTACATATATGTAATGAAACTAATCATTATCAGCTTATCATTTATAATAGTTAAATAAATATATTAAATAATAATTTGTTTGTTTGTTTTGATTGCATCTTATAATATGCAAACCAAATTATATTTCAAAATGATTTGTAACCATTGGAACAACCTGATACTACCAATACTACTATAAATAATAATAATAATGGTAATAATGTTTGTAATTTAGTATGCATACATTTATTTCATAAATTCAAATGATTCAAGCATTATGTTGCAAGTTCTTTGCGGTGTCCCAAATGTTATTTATATGGAATCTGTGCAAATCATAATTATATATATACGTATATATATATACATATATATATATATATATATATATATATATATATATGAGCACAAATGAAATCAATTTAATAGAATAACGAAAATTAAGCAATGATAACTTGTTTGTATTTTGAAGCAGTCAACTTAGTGCACTAATACAAAAGAGCGGCGATACAAAGTGCGTAATACATAAAATCTATTACTTAAACATCGTTTACTACAATAAGAAAAAGTGCATAGAAAATATTTAATGTATAATATCAATGTAATGTAAATAGCGAATTTGTTTTAATTAAATTTTAAATGTACAATGTACTATTGTCAATTCAATAAAAATGATCAAGAGGAGCTTTCTTTTTTTAAATTGGTTTCTTTAAGCAACAATCAGAACAGAACAAGTAGTTATCTTGAATAGTGTAGAAAAAAAGCCCTTTTTCTGATCATGAATTGCAAGCCTAACGTTTAATTCTATCAGAATAATCTAAGTCTCGTGTTCACCAAAAGATTCCAACATTTCAAGTTTAATACCTAGTGTTAGGGTTGTGGGTATTTACTGTTGAACAAGTATTGATTGGTACAAGACAAATTCATAGTATTTCTTGGTTTCAACAGTACTCCAGCTTATGATAGGTCATTATACCGATTACCTTCATTGCCACAAATTTTGATCTTTACTCCGTTAACTTACCAAATATAGGCAGGCACTATGTATCTCTGACACATTTCGGAAAGATATGATTAACTGTAGTGAATAAGTCAGTCAATCACAACATAGAACTTCGTACTTGCATACATAAGTTCAGGTTGCCATTCCACATTAGCACACAAACGCAATTGTCATTTCAATCACGTAGTAGTAGAAGCAGTAGAGGTAGTTGAAGTATTAGTGGTAATGGAGAAGATTACGGTTCGAAGATATTATTCAAGATGTATACTACAGTGAAATGAATTCAGGAAGAAAACGACAGAGGTGATAAGGAATTCAGAAGATCAGAATTACCGAATACATGCTTCCTATTACCAGTGCTGCATACTCGATTGTCCCAGGAAATATAAGAAATGCTTTTAGTACACTTATGATCGAATACCAGTAACCTATAAATATCCCCTTATCTTAGTGGCCATGTTTCACATCCGTATAGTAGAACGGAACGAACTGATGCACAGTAGACTCGTCTGTTAATTAGCGAGCGGATTTTTTGCCTACGCCTTAAGTGACGCAAGTTGGTAAAATCTAATCGGGCCTTCTGTCTCCGTGCTGAGAATTCGTTAAACACCAAGCCATCAGCACTGATAAAACTCCCACAGTTTACGGAGCGGTCGACACGCTCAACTACTTCACTCGCTATAATTAGTTCATGTGCCAATGCAATCCAATCCTCAAGCAATGTTCCTCATCGCGATGGGGACTATCTCATCCCGAACATGCTTGCACTGATGTTTAGAGTAGTCAGAAAACGCAGCATTAACCCATCATCACTTTGAAATTCATTATTAAAAACCATTATGATTAGAAATCATTTTTCAAATAACTAATTAGACAATACATAATAATAATAATTTGTATTTAATATTTCAGTCAAAGATTCATGTTATTATTTATAATAAGTTTAAATTAACTAAATTTAACTAAATGTTTCGTGTATTTAATATTAAGAGTACGACAGACTGTCTAAGTTAATTAATTATACAACCCCAACCGTCTTAGTTTTGATACACTAACAATATACACTAGTGATTATCATCATTTATTTGACTGGTGAAGAGTATAATAATACAATGTCAATAATTCTGTTTAAAATAATCACTGAATAAATTTAACTATTTGAAAACTAGTCTAGACTGATAAATTCAAGTATTGATATGGATAGATAACCTATGAGAATAAAAAAGGTTTTTCAACATCAAATACTTATCAGATCGTGATTTATTCAGCAATCAAATATTAACACATTTATTTCAATGTGTCTTTATATTGTCATTTCTCAAGCAATACCTTCTAATCATCATATAGAATAGTAGTAATATTTTTTTTTGTCTTGTACTCTGTCTGATTCTCCTATTTGACGATTTTATGTTTAAACCCTTAGTTCGTCAAATATACACCGGTAAAATCTGGCTTAATCAGACTTCTAACATAAATAGTTGTTACACATTTGAAATCATTAATCAATCATCATTGTTAGACCACCATTAGAAACCTGGAAGCACTGGACGGCCGTTTCGTCCTAGTATGGGACTCCTCAGCAGTGAGTTCTCTTTTACAATGAATGTACTGTGACAAAATTTTTGAGTTGGATGAGATTTAATTATTGTTATTGATTGTCGAATGGAACCCCTATTTAAAAAAAAAACTATTCATTCCTTAGTTCTGATATGATGTAATATAAAAAACTACTGATCTAGTTAATTTAAGTTTCTGGATGGATGTTAAACGATTACGAACGATCGATAGTTTTATAAACTAACTAACTAATAAGCTAAACAATTGTTTCTCCGACTAAGATTAATTAATTATTCAGATTAGAGCGTAATGATCATGATAAGTAGTAGTTCCCTTGGAAGTTGTGCACTTGCAAACAAGTGTTAACTAGATGAAAGCCTGTGTCTAGACATTCTTGATGGGCTACTTTCAATCTCTTTATTTTATTCAACATTAAAGTACTTAATAATTTTATTCAGTTTAAAATTATGACCAGCATATTTAGAAACCTGAATCACGGAATGGCCATTTCATAATGGCATTGAATGCCTCAGCAGAGCATATCTGTGAATTAAACCCTTGAACCTATCGTCTTTAAGTGTGAATACTTAAACTCTAAATCCCAGAGTCAACATTCAATGTAGTTAACGTTCAACCCCAATCGATCCCTGATATTACGCAATGCTCATCTAGTTTCGATCAGCAAGCAAATGATTAAAAATGAAAATTCTACAATCTCTAGAAAAAATTCCTTATACTATCTAACAACTATTGAAGTATATATTTCAAACTCATTTGTTCTGATGTGCTAAGGTTAATTAATACTAAGAATCATATTCTCGTACTGTTTATAACAAGAATTATTAACCGAGGTGAATAGTAGCTAGCATTGAAATCTAGGACGTACGTTTCGTCTTAGTACATAAGAGATCATCTTCAGCCTATTGAAAAAACGAACCGCTATCTGGACGTAGTAGCTAAGTGGATAACGCAATGTCGTTTGAAGCAAACGGTACTGGTTAGAGTTCAGGGAGCGAACATCACCTTTGAGATATAAGTACATTCAGCTGACAAGTCCTAAATAGGGCGAAACTCGCATTCTGGATCCCACCGCTAACCACTTTCCACCTCTGATATATACTGGTTAATAGTTAATAGCATAATATTTATTTTAGTATAGTTTGACGCTGTTTATGTTACTTCTAGCAAAGGAAATGAAAACAGAGTAATTACAAACGTCTAAGTGATACATCCCATTAGGAACCAATCATATTTTAGTAATACTACTGATTTTTAAAAATCTTTTCTTATGTAAATAAGATTCAGAAGGAAGTAAATGTAATACTGAACTTTTGTATATAGTCATTATCAAAACTGCGCCACTAATGAAAAACCATGAGGCACCATATTATTAGTCTCAATATCAGAGGTTTAGAAAAATTGATTTCAAACTTTCGAAAGATTGTAATTCGAATATAAGGTTATCTTAATTTGTTTGAATTCAGTTTCTCAATCCTTAAATTTTTTTTATTTCATGATATATTCGTAGGATATAATGTTGTTTATTCTACGAAGGTGAGATAATTTCTAAATTTTTCACCGAAGACTCAGATTCAAATCATTTACAAGCTAATAGGTTAAGTCAATCAATAAATATCAAATGACGTTTCCTTTAGTTATATGCCATTTCATTAGCTAAATCTTCCACTATTCAAATGTATTAGTCACATGGATTCTCGATGAGGCTAGGGATAAACACATTCAATTATTTAGGTATCCAAGGCCTAAAACTATGGTTTAAAGCTGTTGCTATTATCTACGCATAAATTATTCCCTTAATTATGATGGGTCACGTGATTCAGCCCAAAGTAGCCTGTTATGCTCTCCACCAGCCTGCCTTTCGAATGGTACATAGAAACAACGAATGAAGTATTCACTCAGTCCAAATCTCTTCGTTTTAATTCGTTAAAATATAGAAGCTCTTAGTTTAACGTGAATTTGATTGGTTAAATTAAATTGTCGTACTGATTTGACTTGACAAACCAGATACGCTTATTTATCGACTATTTGCAAATAAACTGTAGACCAATCAAATTACAAGGTCTTTGCTATATAAACCAAGGCCGTGGCCAACCGTCGATTCATGCTGGAATAAAGAGGTGGTTGGAGTAGTTGTCGATTTTCTGTCTGGTTTTTGTCCATGTCCGTTAGCCATCAACAGAAAAATGGTCTTCTATTACTATTACAAGCTGCCAGGAAATTGGATGAAGAAGGTAAGATTAAAGCTACTAACTTACACTGCTATATCTAGAAACGTTACATCGATATCCCTATAGCACAGAGAAATGGGAACATAGATCGCAGAGAAATTACGATGAAACACATTCATCATACAACTATCCCCACAGTTACAGCTCGCAAAAACGGCCAGTCACATCTGTGAGGTAAGCTTTTTCTTCAGAAAATTCTAAGTTTCATGTAGATGTACACATAACGAGCTTGAAAAGAGTCGGTAAGTTCATAAATGAAAGTGTAAACACATCCTGTAGGCGTGCTCATCTTCGAACTTGTATGGAGACCCTAAAAGAGCGCCTAAATTTCGACAATGATGTTCCAAGGATAACAATGCTAACGGTTCTTAAAAAGGCAACAGCTACCATTCAGGTACGTCTCGCTAAAAAGTGGTTTTACATTGAATGGAATAAGTTGATTTTCATCACTTTGTAAACTTATATCTGTCATTTTTAATGTTCAGCTTTTAAAACAGAAGAAGCAATGTCTAGAGATCTATGAAGACAGTGAAAAACAGAGATGTGTTCAGTTGCTCAAACGACGCCAAGCTCTTAGAAAAAAGTTGGAGGAAAAACGAAGTCGTTCATTAAAACTTCAGAGCTGGAAAGAAAGAAATCGCAATTGCTCTGAGTGTTCTATTGCAACTACATCTTCAGGTAAGAACTACTTCATTCAACGACTTTACAATGGCTTTTACGGTTCTAAACTATTCTGTTTTTCTTTACAGATGACTCTGAAATGGATTCACGTCCGGGTTCTTTATCACACATAACTACACAGTCTTTAAATAACAATACACAACTATCCAATACAGCAGCAGCAGGTCTGAATACATGTGTTAATGATCCAAACTTTGTGTTGCACATATCTAAACACACAAGTCTCAGTTCGCCGATTGGCACTACGAGCAGTTCACCTGTTGGTTTGGATACTTTTGATGCAAGTAGTTCAGATTCAGGATTTGAGGAAATCACTATATCTTCAAATGGCGTTATGTCTCCTAGTGAAAACTCACTAACTTATTGTATTAATGACAGATCTCAATGTGTATCAGTATATCCGAACAAGGTGTGCAGGGATTGCTAGATATGTTCGATTTATATCCAATCATCTTGTTATTTCCTTCATCGACTGTTCATTTAACTCAGAATTTTTCATTTGCGTGCATCATAGTCAATGCTGCAAATTGGACATTTTGACGGCTTACAATCACATCGTGCCAATCAATTTCCTCATATTGTATTCATTGATAGTTCAGTTTATTTATGTGCTCAATTATCTGGTCCGGATTTTTCGCTTTGTTAAAAACGTCATTGATTTGTAGCAGCTCAACATTTATCTTATATCATCATCATACATATTCTGAACTTTATTTATTTTCAGTTGTCGGTAAGTATTTACTAACACTGGTCATGTCAGTTAAGTAGTAACTACAAGTTTTTTAGAAACTATCAAGTAAAATGTAATTGATATTTAGGATTGTTCTTATACTTCTACTGACATTAGTTTTAAACGCACATTCCCTTTTCCGATTTTAATTATCTTAATCCTTCCCATTGTTGGTGCGTAATGCAAACTGTGATTCTGCTCTATTTTGCATTTTACTGAATAATATTCGAGATCCTTCATAAGTTGCCTGCTGTATCTAGCAGATTTTGAATTGAACTGCTTAATATATTTCCTTGTTTATCTAATCCCTTCAACTCTATTCGTTGTTGTGTATTCCTCATGTACTCATCTAATATTTCTGTGCAGATGCCGGATATGTCTTTCATGAATGAGTCAATATGCTTCTGAATCTCGCACTGTACGCAAATTGCTGAAATTTCTTGAACGATTTCGTCATGTTCTTTTCCAGCTTGCCAGTCACGTGCAATTTCGGCAGCGGCTTTATAACATGCTTTGTGGGCATATATATGCCAATATGAACTTTGTATAGTGTTTTTTTGCAAAGGGTATACATGCTTTTAAAGATAACCTGATCATCTATCCAACGTAGGTGCTAAATGCACTTGCATTATTTTTTAGTGATTTTGTCCAGTTTTTAACGGCAGCAAATATGCTAGCTGTGATTGTTTGTACATTTAATGTTAGAGACCTATGTTGCCTAATATTCAAATGATGAACTTCTAAATCCTGACTAATCTGTTTGTAAATAAGACAATTCTTTCCTCATTAAAGTTGTTATTTCGAAATATCCCCACAATGGCAGCTGTTTTACTGTAAACGAAGTTTATTTCCTAAAGGCAATCTGCCATGTTCATACCCTAATTTGCTTGTAATAATATTGATCCTTTTAAAATTGTCTATATATTGTCTGCTTTCAATTTGTTTCATTTGCGATCCATTTAATTGGATCTCTTATCAACTGATCTCGTTCAAACCAACCATTTCGTCTTTTGTATTCTTCGTTCAGTTTGTTTATGATTGGGTTATTCAAATAGAAAGATGCAATATATATCCTGCAGGTGACACAAAGTAATGACAACAAAGTAATTAGCATAATATCGTTATTAACTAGTCGGGATTTGTCTTGTGCACCTCAGCCATCACATTTCGTTATACTCCATATGTGTACCACTAAGTTTGTATTTCTATTTCTAGAATCCCCTAAAGATTTGTGAAGCTATGTAAACTTCATATCCGTTATTACTGTCTTTCCTATCGCGATTAGATAGCATTTTAGTTCGTATTTGTATAACTTTTCACTTCTTAGGACCAACTAAGCAAATGTATATTGTTCCATGTGCTAATATTTTTGCTCTAACCGACCGATCAATGTAAAGGAAGCTTAGATCTGTACGTACAGTTTAACTCCCTTTTCACTGTCTTCAGGCTATAATACCACATGGAGATAAAAATCAAATCATCCAGTTTTAGAAGTATAATTACATGACACCTTAACAATTTCGGTTAACCCTTAGTGATGACTACGTTTGTTTGGGTCATACGTTTAAATTATATTATTTGCTTGACTTGAGGCTGCAGTGAAATATGTACAAACAGCTATTATGGATATATTCTTCACGTTAACTGTTTTGGTTGAGTGTTCATGTACGTTCGAGCTTGTACTTGTTCATGTACTTTATTTCGCCTTATAAAATTCATTAAAATAATACTTTGTACTACCCTAGTATAGTTTCGCACGTTTGCACATCGCAAACTAAGCACCAAGTAGTCTGTCTTGGCTTTCATTCTAGGGAATTTTCTGAACCCTAGGAGAAAAGCTTTGAATATGTATTACAGCTATAGGAGGAACATGTTAAGTTGTAACTAATAGATACTACCTATTCGTTTTAATGTGTGTACGAGAAAGTATTTGTATCATTGACTTCGCAACATAACGTCGTTTTTTAAATATCGAACAACTTTACGTTGTTCGGCATGTTTGACTCGTGACTAGGTTTGCGTTTGTATTTCATGATCGATCATGTGACTTGAAATATTTGAATATAACTACAACTATTTTGCTGATCTGGTCGTTCTGTGTGGATTGGCTAAGTAGCAAAAAGCACTTAATCTTATACGGCTTACTGAACATATCTTTATTTGCCTGTTACCGGAACATTAGCTTGATTATGAATTTGTATGAAATGCAATACTTAACATTTCGTACTCATGACTACTCAACTGTTTGGAAATAAGATACTTGAAGCAACTTAAGATCATGTTTTTAATATGCTACAGCACACAGTACAGTCAGTAATTGTGCTGAAATGTATTTGTGGGTCAATAGGGAAACATGACCTATTCGTCTACTACATATTTATTACGCGTAATTGCTTTATTTATATCGTATCGAATTATGGGAACTAGAAATTATATATTGTGTCCATTAGTTCGTGTTACAGTTGGCTCTACTGGCAGCCATACAACTAACATAGGATCCCTGATTTGGCTCAAAGCGAAAGACAACTAATTCTAGGTCTTCCTTTTTATCATCAGAATCCATTCAACCAAACGCATTTTTTGAAGTGACTGACGAAATTTCAGCATGGATACAAAAGGCTCGATTGGATTTTACTAACTTGCGTCGCTTAAGGCGTAGGCGAAATATCCGCTCGCTAACCAACAGACCAGTCTACTGCGCATCAGTTCGTTCCGTTCTACTATACGGATGTGAAACATGGCCACTAAGATAATGGGGTATTTATAGGTTACTGGTATTCGATCATGAGTGTACCAAAAGCATTGCTCGTATATCCTGTGACAATCGAGTAAGCAGCGCTAGTAATAGGAAACGTGTATTTGGTAAGGATGTCAGATCCGATTGTTGGTGTTGTGAATATTCATCAGTCGGGGTAGATGGTGTGTTACAAATACCCAGCCACCGACTGCCTAGACGAGCGATGTTTTTTGGTGTAGGAGAAGGTTGAGAGGTGGCCGGATCAAAACATGGCACAAATCCATGAAGTCACTGACGAGTGGGTTGAGTCATGTTAGTTAGAGTAGACTACCTGGTTGTGTTCCACGAGACGATAGTAACCGATGGTTAGAGACCCTGAATGACATGGCTCAGAATCGTTTGCAATAGCGCAAGTGCATCTATTCTTTGTTTGCTGTGGAATGCTAGTTTTTTGAATTCCTAGTCACGTTTATCTTCCTCTTTTTGAATTTGATCCACTGTAATATACTTCTTGAATAATACTTCAACTAACTCTACTACTTCTGCTACTACGTGATTAGAAATGACAATTGCGTTTGTGTGCTAATGTGGAATGGCAACCTGAACTTATGTGTTTACATACGAAGTTTTACGTTCTAACTAACTGATTTTTTGAAGTTTACTCCCACTCTAGGCAAGATATGGTAGGGTCGTATTTCAAGGATTATTCCATTTTCTCACGAAACGGAAATGTATCATTAACATACTCCTAGTCCTTGAGGGGTCATGGGTAGGAAAAATTTACCTTTCTGAGAGTGTATGATAAACAGAAATAGTGAAAGTACACTAGTTCACATGTTAGCGGTCATACTCGATTGAAAGAACCTCATTATGCCTTTTGTTGAAACCTCTGAATCGATAGTTGTATACCGCTTTAGGTTGTGACAGTGTTGCTGTTATGGGTATGAGGGCGTTTTTCACTTCCCGACTGCCCACACCGTGGAAGGTTGTTTCTTGAGGAACCTTAAAAGGAAGGTAGATTAGTTTTGGTCTTAGAGACCCGGGTGTGTGACCGCAGTTCCCAAGGGACAATTGCTTGAGGCCGGTCACGCACGGCCTTTTTATGAAAGGATTTTTGAGTATTAGGTCCGCTTTTAAAAACCCTTAGTGCGGCCCCTTACCGCCGGGGACGGAAATCCGTGAAGTAGGGTGATGTGTGACATTTTTAGTGTCGACCTTTTCTAACCCTTCCTTCCTTGTGAGAAGGCAGTATCACTGCAGATGCTGGTTGTCCTAGGGAAACACCTTACTGCTATCACACCCCTCTGTAGTCAGCAGTACGACCTCGCCCTCAGACCTTGAGTAGATGCTTTCAATCTGATCGTTCTCCAATCGATCTGACTGGTATGGTAGAACCTTCAGGAATGTATGTTCCAGCCAATATAGCTCGGTTGAGTCATCGCCATAGGCAAGCCCGACCACCACGTCAAGGTAGCAGCTTCGGTCGGGTTTAGGTTGTGAAATACGTAACTAATCTTTGATGTTTATGTTTATATGCTGAAACCCGTTGGGTATTGAAGTTCCGATTGTTAAGATTGCAATCGACATGACATGTGTGTAGTTATTAGGTATTTTGAATGTGTAGTTGTGTTTGGATTGAGGTTATTCCATCCCCTGTACTGTCAGAGAATATACTATTGTGTAAGGTGATAAATAGTTTCAAATTACAATTAACTTCAATCAGAGATTTATTTCTTTTCTGGTTAGCAAGTTAGTTTTTTTGGTGGGATGGGGTCGCCAACCCCATGCCCAACCCTCCTCCTTTATCCGGACTTGGGACAGGTGGTAGCCCCGAAGATTCTACAGGCGGAGTTTTCATTTAGAGAAATCTAGTCAAAATGTTCATGAACTCATTAAAACCATTGCTGACGAGCATTACATTAGACGATTGGATATTAACTATGGTCACTTACATTATTGTTGGTCTTCATCTTATTGCACATAAACAACCAATTTGGTTTTAATGTTATAGAACAGAATCTAAGGGTTAGTTAGCATTTTATCAGAATGGGTCAATCTAACCAATTAGTGAATAATGTGTTATAGAATGTTAATTATCTTAAAAATCTGTTCATGCTTTTGTGAATCCATTTAAAATATCTGTTATTCGAGTTTTGATATTATTTTTGAATAGACTTTTGTGTCCTAAGATCTGACTCCAATTTTTACGTATATCATTCATTCTCATGAGGAACCCCATTTGTGCGATGGTAGTGATTAGAAGCCCAGTTCAGTTTATCTTGGATAGCTTTACTGTATGCATACATTTGTGTAAGCCGATAGACAATAAAGAGAACAGTAAAAGCGAAGTGGAGAAGGCAAGTGGGCCAACTCAACACGACGAGACATAACTAAGTATTTATAGTCAGACAAAGAAAGATAAACGAAATAAGCAGTGTGCATACGTACTCAAGTAGAAAATAACCAATGTTATAGGCGAATAATTGACAAGGTCGAATGATTTGATTCATTTGTCCATAGGTTGGGACAAGTCATGTAGACTTGACATAGTCGTGCACATTACAATATCTTTACTAATAATAATCTAGTACATTCGGTAGACACGGAGGACATGTAGAAATTTTATTCAATAGAAAATTTATCATAAGATTGTTTAAATTGACAACGTAGCTTAGGTGCTAATTCAGGTAATCTTGATATAGCTTGGAGTTTATAACCTTTTTAATTATACATA